CAGATAATGTAATGTATGTAATTGGTAAAAAATAAAAAATAAAATGTTGCAAAGATGGTTGATATTAAAAATATCACATGTTAAGCCTATAAAACACTCCTGTAAAATTAGTAAGTTTTAACAGTTTTAATGCGATAAACCTATAAAAAACACTCTCCTGTAAAATTAGTAAGTTTTGAGATTATACAGTTTTAATGGGAGAAGACGACATGTTTATGTTAATATTTTGATGAGATAACAATAGGCCGCCGGTCCACGCTGTTCATTAAGAATGACGAAAACAATATGTTTGAGGTGCTAAATGGGTGCCGAACACAATGCCAGAATGTTGTAGGCAAAAACAAATTGTTAAAATAAGTTAAGAGATATATTTTTGGAAATCTTTTTAGTTCTGCACAATGTATTTTGTACACCGTATATTTTATTTAAAAGATATGAGGCCACGCTAAAATAAACATTGTATTATTAGCTTGACTCTCATCAGTAATTAATTGTTTTTACCCACCCGCGCGGACTGACAAGAGGTCCTACCACCAGTAATTACTTAAATTATAATTTTGCGGGTTTCATTTTTATTACACGATGTTATTCTTTCACCGTGGAAGTCAATCGTGAACATTTTTTGAGTACGTATTAGGTACATTAGAAAAATTGGTACCCGCCTGAGATTCGAACACCGGTGCATCGCTCAACACGAATGCGCTCTTATCCGTTAGGCCACGACGACTTCAAAATTAACTTTACCCGACATCTATTGGCGAATAATAATACTATTTTTCTTAATTGTGGGCAACTAACCGCTTTAAAGGCACAAATCAAATCAAAAACGTTTTATTCAACATAAATGAAAGTACATACTTGTTGAACGTCAAAAGAACTACCGCCAATTCATAAGAATTAGCCTCCGTCCTGAGAAGAATTGGCAAGAAACTCAGCGGGCATGTCTTTTTTTTTGAAATATTAGATTTTTTTTTTATGTTAGATTTTTTTAAATGGCACAAGATGGCGTTTTCAAAAAAAACCGGTCATCCTCTAGTGTTATTAATTTTTCATCTTTAGTATATTATTTGTAAAATAAAATACTTCTACTCTGCGATCTGCTTTTAAAAATAGCCACGGCAAGAATACAGAGATTTTTCTTTTGTTTTTCCGCCCGGGCAGGGACCGAACTTCCTAAGATTGTGTAACGGGCGCCCTAACTTCAAACCGAAACGCCTAATGCGTTAGTTCTTCACGCCAGAAATAGACCGGGTGGTACCTAACCGCGCGGGGTCACCCTACCACCAGTAGTTACGCAAATTATAATTTTGCGGGCTTAATTTTTATTCCACAACGTTATTCCTTCACCGTCAATCGTGAATGTTTTCTAAGTACGTATTTCATTAGAAAAATTGGTACTCGCCTGCGGGATTCGACCGGTGTTGGAACAGTTGCATCGCTCGATACGAATGCACCGGGCGTCTTATCGATTAGGCCACGACAACTTCAAGCATTCGTAGTAATGAAATGTTTATTAAACTACGCATTAGTACATCCGCGATAACGGAGTCTTCTTATAAATACTGTTACGCGCAGGGGTTCGGGATAAATAAAATTCAACCGAATCACAAGTTAACACAGTATTAGCACTTAGAACACTTTAAAATTCTCAATTCGCTTCTTCCGCTTCGCTTCAGGTGATCCGTTCGCTGTTTCGCTTCGAGTAGTTCCGATTACTGACTGACTGCGTGCCATCTCTACAATGCTTTTGTAGTCGAGACGAAATCCCTAGAATCCTTGTAACATTCTACGCTATGACTAATGATTAGTAATAATTTTATAAAATTATCCACGGGATTTTTTAAAAATAGATATTTCACATAAAACACGACTTGGTAATTTTCGAAAATGGTTAAAAAAGTCGCAATAATCGATGGAGTTGTTCTCAAAAGTTGCGCTGTCGTACATGTGGCAATCGATTTGATAGATGTACAAAAACACTTCTGTTATAATCTTATAAACTGTATGAATCCATCATTCCCGAAGCCTATTATTACTGGTGGTACGACATCCTGTGAGTCCGCACGGGTAGGTACCACCATTCCGCCTATTTCTGCCGTGAAGGGTTGGGCAGTCGTTGTATTGTTAAAGCTGAGACCTTATAACTGATTTCTCATGGCTCCGGTAAGCTCTTAACACCAGGTGAGCCGTGAACTCGTCCACTCATCTAAGCTACAAATAAAAGCCAAAACCGAAATATGCTATTTATTGGCTCAAAGTGAACGGTATGCAATTTAAATTTATTAAATTATTAATAATAGTTCAAAAAAACTAACAAAATACGCTCTTATAGAAAATCCAACTAAGAAACAGAAAGTAAATTTTAATAAATTTGAATTAAAAATGGTGAAAGAAAAACTGATTTTATTTAAAAAAAAGCGTTTATTTTTCCTTTTTTAGTTGAATTTCAAAAAATTTTTTTAATATTGAATTATCATCGGTCCTTAATAAATATACCAAATTTCGAATTAATCCGACGTTTTGTAGGGTGTCAAAATCATGTTCAAAGATTCCGTTACAAACATACATATATACATACGTCTGAAGCTAATAAAAGCGTATTAAAAATGACAAGCATTTAGTTTGACCTTTTAGCGAGTTCATGTTTCGTAAAACAGCATTGTAATGCAAAGTTTCTTCTATGGCCCCGCGAGACCATAGATATAAAAAACCCTAGACTTAGATACTGGTTTACAATGACTAAGCGCGGATTCATCACTATTGCTACTAAATACATATTGAAACAATTTTGTTAAAAAATTATTGTAATTGTGATTTACATTCATAAAGATAACACCAAATACAATGTTGTTATACTACCTATGTACCTGCTGCGAACGAAACTAGAGAGAAAGGAAAAGTCGAAGGGAGGGGGCATACCGCTTTTTCCTTACACGAAGATTTCGACTAGCCAAAAAGATTACTGGTGGTAGGACCTTGTGAGTCCGCGCGGGTAGGTACCACCGCCCTGCCTAATTCTGCCGTGAAGCAGTAATGCGTTTCGGTTTGAAGGGTGGGGCAGCCGTTGTAACTATACTGAGATCTTAGAACTTATATCTCAAGGTGGGTGGCGCATTTACGTTGTAGATGTCCATGGGCTCCAGTAACCACTTAACGCCAGGTGGGCTGTGAGCTCGTCCACCCATCTAAGCAATAAAAAATAATAATAAAAAGATATATCAAACCATATCCGAAAATCCCATAGCCGAAAAATCTATCAGCACTTAATGACGTGTGCTGAAATTTAATGGGAGATCAATTTTAGCCCTTCATGTTTACTGGATATATACGTGGCTTTTAACACTGCAAACATCCGACGGTATGGTGAAAGTTTATCGTGAAAATATACGAAGTCGTCGTTTGAATGAAATATAATTATGTGTTCTTTGCTTTATCCACATTTTACGTGAGTTCACAAACAATTTCGCTCTTTGAGATAACTTTTATTTATTTGCACGATACAAATAGATTATATTGACAATAATAAATCCTATCATTTACTTTTCAGCTTCAATCGTTAGTATTTTGTTTTCGTTTTTTGTGGAATTTTTGCAATGATGATGTTAAATAAAAACAATTTTCTTTGTAAGAGCGTAGTTATCTGCAGGCACATCACATCTCTTTTATTTTCGATTCACACATATAAACGTTATTAGAAAGGCTTATAGTATGGGTGTTTAAATGTTGAAAAAGTATTAAATACAAAATATGTTTCTGTCTCACGTTAAGCATGTTAGAATGTTTTAGAAGTCGTTGTGGCCTAAAGGATAAGACGTCCGGTGCATTCGTATGTAGCGATGCACCGGTGTTCGAATCCCGCAGGCGGGTACCAATTTTTCTAATGAAATACGTACTCAACAAATGTTCACGATTTACTTCCACGGTGAAGGATCTTGTAATAAAAATCAAACCCGCAAAATTATAATTTGCGTAATCACTGGTGGTAGGACCTCTTGGGAGTCCACACGGGTAGGTACCACCACCCCGCCTATTTCCGCCGTGAAGCAGTAATGCGTTTCGGTTCGAAGGGTGAGGTAGTCGTTGTAACTATACTGAGATCTTAGAACTTATATCTCGAGGTGGGTGGCGCATTTACGTTGTAGGTGTCTATGGGCTCTAGTAACCACTTAACATCAGGTGGGCTGTGAGCTCGTCCATCCATCTAAGCAATAAATAAAAAAAATGTTACAATAATTGCAAAATTGATTTCATCGTTCTCCTGCCCTTCTCTCAGACACCTGAGGTCGGCGCAGCATGTTTTCTCCTTCCACACTCCTCTATCATATACCATTTCTTCGCTCACTCCCTTCTTATACATATCGTCTTTCACGCAATCCATCCATTTCTTCTTAGGACTACCTCTTCCTCTATATCCTTCCACATTCACAGTAAATACTCTCTTACCAACCTCATTTTCATTTCGTCTCATCACATGTCCATACCATCCCAAAAGCGCACTTCTCAACTTCTCTGTCACAGGTGCCACTTTCAGACGTCTTCTAACATATTGCAAAATTGATCTGTAGAAGAAAAAAAAGAATTAGGATATAGGATGTTTAGTTTCTGTGAGCTACTTCTAGAGTAGGTGCAGTGTTGTTTCAGATGTCCATTCTATCATGATAAAAATATATCTTTTAAGTAAGTTTTTTAATAGGATAATTGGATTTAGGTAATATCCCGCCATGGCGCCATTCTAGAATTCCATTAAATAAATTTGACAATTAATTTTCTTATATAGAAATAGCACCAAATTCAGAGGAGCGTATAACTTAGAGCATTTATGTTTAATAAATACTTAATACGAATTTCTCAAAACATTGGAGTACAAGTTTTGATAGTTATTTAAATTCACAAAAAGACACGTAAGATAACAAGCTTGTTGGACGACGCAATACGCGATAGCGGGGCGGTGCGGCGGGGCGCGGGGGTCGAGCCACCGATTCGCCCAACCCAACCGCCAGCACGTTCAGTGACCTGCGCGACGCGCTGCTCGACGCACGCATCGGCATGTCGGAAGAAAACGTAGTGTTCCCACAAAAAATACTCAAGAAATTCATACTTTTATACAAAGATCTGCCGTGTTTGTGGGACAAAGAATGTCCAGCTTACAAAATCAAAATGAAACGACACGACGCCATCACTAAAATGACGGAGTTAGTGCAGGAATACGATCCGTCCGCGACCAGAGTGCACATTTTAAGAAAAATTGAGAGTCTACGGGCGTGCGTACGTAGGGAATACAAGCGCGTTCAAGAAAGCAGGAGGAAGGCTAATTGTGAAGAAGAAGTTTACGTCCCTAATCTGTGGTATTACGACTTACTGTCATTCATATTTAAGAACGAAGCGCCGGAGCCAGCAAGATCGCCTATCCCCACTGCTGTGAGTATAACACTCCGAGGTTACATCGTCTTTTCGCATTAAAAGCGTATAATTTCTTAAAACATTTGAAATTGAGTTAAAACGCGGAATCATTTGGTATCACCAGTATTTTTCTCATACATACTGTCAAAAGAGCGTAGTTTAGTTTTTGTTTTTTTTTTGTTTACCATGTTTTGACTACTATTAACAAAATTAATACATAATTTTATTATACTTTAATAGACAGATAATGTAATGTATGTATGTAATTGTTTAATAGACAGATGTATGTAAAATAAAAAATAAATGTTGCAAAGATGATCGATATTAAAAATATCACATGTTAAACCTTTAAAACACTCTCCTGTAAAATTAGTAAGTTTTGAGATTGTACAGTTACATGAATGCGAGAAGACATGTTTATGTTATTATTTTGATGAGATAACAATAGGCCGCTCCACGTTGTTCGTTAAGAATTACGAAAACAATATATTTGAGGTGCTAAATGGGTGTCGAAATTCGAGAATGACATTATGGTAGATACATACCATGCTTAATACCTAATATTCGAACAATTTTCGCAGTTAACATGACACGCAATGCTAGAATGTTGTAGGCAAAAACAAATTATTAAAATAAGTTAAGAGATATATTTTTGGAAATATTTTTAGCTTTGCACAATGTATTTTGTACACCGTATATTTTATTTAAAAGATGGATGGATTATTTTAAGAGGCCACGCTAAAATAAAATAAAAATGGTATTAGCTTGACTTTGATCAGTAATTAATTGTTTTTCTTTTTAATTCTAATGTTATTAATTCTTCATCTTTAGTATATTATTTGTTAAATAAAATAAAATGCTTCTTGTCTGAGATCTGCTCTTAAAAATAACCACGGCAAGAATGCAAAGATTTTTCTTTTGTTCTTCCTCCCGGGCAGGGACCAATCTCCCTATGATAGTGCAACGGGCGCCCTAACTTCAAACCGAAACGCCTAATGTGTTAGTTCTAGTGTTAGTTCTTCACTCCAGAAATAGGCAGGGTGATACCTACCCGCGCGGGCTCACCCCACCATCATAGTTACGCAAATTATAATTTTGCGGGTTTAATTTTTATTTCACAACGTTATTCCTACACCGTATAGGTCAATCGTGAATGTTTTCGAAGTACGTATTTCATTAGAAAAATTGGTATCTGCCTGCGGGATCCGAACGGTGTTCGAACAGCTGCATCGCTCGTTACGAATGCACCGGGCGTCTCATCGATTAGGCCACGACAACTTCAAGCATTCGTAGTAATTAAATGTTTATTAAACTACGCATTAGAACATCCCCGATTGCGGAGTCTCCTTGTAAACACCAATTAAATTACATTAAATTACATTGATTAAGTTAAACAACATTAAAGAGAACTAGATTTATGCTGCGAGCAGCGTTTGCCAACTCGAAATTCCTCAAGGTAGGAGATAGGGTTCTACAAGTTGGTAGTTTTCAACAAACCCTACTATGAAAAGGTAGAAAGGATAAAGGAATCTACCGAGGTGGTAGATCTACCAACTTTTCAAGTCTTTTAGAGACCCTCCAATAAGAATCTGGCATCCTTAATTTACTTTACGATTGGTTAAGACATATTTGAACTATTTTTATTAGAAATCCAATGATAAAAGAGAATTACAGGCCGCTAATATTCTTCTTTTTCCCATAGTTGAGAATATTTTTGATTGAAGTGCATCTTTTTTGAATTTTCGAGGAATTTTCTCCGTTTTCACTTTCACTTTCACTCATTTTGATAGTGTTCAATTGAAACGTTTTTAAAATTACAATCAGTTATTTGTTAATTGAATCGCGTTATGATTTGAACTTTTTGAAAACTTCAAAAGTTGGTAGATAAAGTGGTAGGTTTGATTACGACACTAAAAGTTGGTAGATCTACCGAAAAGTTGGTAGAGTTGGCAACGCTGGCTGCGAGTATCGTCAGCGATAAAAATGAATTGCTAAGCGTCACATCCCTAGTCATGTGGTACTGACAGATGTCAACTTCATACAGGCAACTGTCACCACCACGCTATATGGTATACCCGCATATAGTGGGTATGTTAGTGAATAAATCGCAACCCTCAGACACAGCCCACCGAGTTTCTCGGCGGATCTTCTTAGTGGGTCGCGTTTTCGATCTGGCGGTAGATTCTACGAAGCACGGCTCTTGCTAGGGTTCGTGTTAGCAACGTCGTCAGGTTTGAGCCCCGTGAGCTCACCTACTAGTTAAGGTTACGCTGATATAGCCTCTCAAGGCAAAAAAAAAACTAAATCGTTTCCTAGACAATACAGTTTTCAAGCACTTAATCGTGTCATAGACTACGCTGAAGTCGGAAGTAGGTAGCATCTTGAGTTGTGTGTGAGTGAGGAGAAAAAAAAGATCCAAATTCTACCGTTCAAAACCTAATAACATCGTCCATAGAAACTTTAACAAAGCCATGAAATCCACAAGACAAATTAATTCCGAAGCGAGCAGTACATCTTAAACTTTCAAACTACCCTCCCATCTCGAGCGTTCATAGTTCGATCGTAAATCTACGAGCATAAAGTCGACTTTTACTTAAAGCTTTAGGTTTGTTTCCTAAACAATCAATTAATCGGTTTGTTAATTAAATTTGGATAATTACGTGCAGACTTATATGCTTCTACACCATGTTGTTTAATTTCAATACTAACCACTATAGTTACATTGCTATTATATTTACTTATATTACGTTCTCGTCATATAGTCATGTCTTGTTACGTTAATTAGTCGCTCTGCAAACAAGTTACAGCTTCATCTATCTCAGTTGTAGGATCATTAAGTTTTAATGCGCTAGTATGACACGTGCCCAGGGAACGCCTGTGTAAAGCCCGAGCCTATAGAAATCAGAGCAAGCACGTGCGGCCATTCATATTAGAACGCATGTGTAATTTGCAGCAGAGATCGGTGGGATAGTGAGCGTGTAATTCACAGTTCTCTAAAATATATGTAAAAAGACTGTTTGTTCATGAACTAGTTGAATTAAAACTGCGTTTTTTCTTTCTTTTTATTTTATGACCTGGTAACTGAGACCTTTAAGTCATGTCTTATTTTAATTTGTATTATTCATATTTTTATGAAAAATAATATGGACTGAAATGAAATGAAGATGATTAATTTGAGACACTAACCAACTGGGATGAAATGAAATGAATTGAAATGATATGGGATGAAATATAATCTCAGTAAAATTGTGGTCATTTACTAAGATATTTTCAGTGGACTTTTTGGAGGATCCCGAGAAGTTACATCCAGCGGCTTTGTTTCATTTTTCCACATTTGTGCACTTTCACAGATATTAAACAGTTAATAAACCACCATTATTACACATTTAAACCCGAAGAAACACTAAATAGACAAAATAAAACAAATCACACAACTTCACTCCTCGCGTTCCCGCCAAAAAGTCTGGTGTTAAGTGATTACCAGAGTCCATAGACATTTACAACGTAAATGCCACTACCCACCTTAAGACAAAAGTTCTAAAGTCTCACTTTTAACAGTACGACTAACCCAATCTTCGAACCAAAATTTATTATTGCTTCACGGCAGAAATAGGCAAGGTGGTACTGGTGATATCTACTCGTATGGACTCACAAGACGTCCTACCACCAGTAAATAAGACCATAAACTTATGACAGGTACGTGTATATTTAAACTTTAATTTCATACATTTTATTTTTTATTGCTTAGATGGGTGGACGAGCTCACCTGGTGTTAAGTGGTTACTGGAGCCCATAGACATCTACAACGTAAACCGAGCGCATCACCCTTCAAACCGAAACGCATTACTGCTTCACGGCAGAAATAGGCAGGGTGGTGGTACCTACCCGCGTGGACCCACAAGAGGTCCTACCATCAGTACTAATGATTACTAGTTAGTTAGTATTAAATAAATTTGAGTACAAGTTGCAGGGTTCTTTATCGTGGGAGTCTTTCGTTAACTCAATAAGATAGTGGGTAATAAACTTCGAAAAAACTTTAAGTACCCACTCCGGAGACTAAAGTACCGAATGACATATGTTCTTCGGGTTTTACGAGTCGTTGATAGAATTGAAACTACTGTACGGTTTAATCTTGCGTTTTTCTTTCTTTTCTATTTTATTATTTCCAACGTTTTGATTACTGAACAGTCTTCTTGACTGACTCGGTGGTGCCTCTGGTCTAATTAGCATCCCTGACTGTTGCGCCCAGGGTCGTGGGTTCGATTCCCATCTGGTGTTAAGTGGGTACTGGAGCCCGTAGACATCTACAACGTAAATGCGCCACCAACCTTGAGATATAAGTTCTAAGGTCTCACTATAGTTACAACGGCTACCCCATCCTTCAAACCGAAACGCATTACTGCTTCACGGCAGAAATAAGCAGGGTGATGGTACCTACCCGCGCGGACTCACAAGAGGTCCTACCACCAGTAAAAGATGACTTCTATCAGTAAGACGCGATGGTTGTTTCCCATTTTAAGCAGTACAAAATGTAAATACTCACAGGGATGTAGTTTTTGGGCGGCAATGTATTTCTCCAGTTTCCTCCTCAACACGATCTCGGCTCCGTACCTGCCGACAGACCCGTTGTCTACGAGCAAGAAGTATGCGTGTCTGTTGTTCAGCACCGCCAGTTTTGATCTGTAGACAATTATCGGCATATAGACAGGGCTTTATCTATGAACTATATTCCAAACATTTACACAAAATATCATTTTAATAACCTAAAAGTACATAATAATATTATTATCCGCAACACGCTTCGTCAGATTATAGAAACAGAGTTATCAGCAACATGCTTCGTCAAAAAGTACAATACCTACTTACCTTCAACTACAAACGTCGTCATAAACTGTCTCATTGTTACATAATAGCGACTGCTATATTAAAAATATTATTTTTTTATTGCCCTTGTTGGCAGACGAGAGCATACGGCCCACCTGATGGTGAGTGGTTACCGACGCCCATGGACTTTAGCAATGCCAGGGGCAGAGCCAAGCCGCTGCATACTATTAATATTAACTGCCTATTATTATTAATAATAATAATAACATCATTGCTATATTAAATATAAATCATAAATGCCTTTCACATAGATTTAGATTATTACAGGTAAAGGAGTAAAAAAAAAAGAAAAAAAAGCAATTAATCGAATATTAGAATGGAATTTTGTTTTGTAATGATTCCGCTGTTCATTTTGACCATCGCTACAACAGGAGAGATTATTTCTAGCTGAATTCTTGCTCTCAGCCACACTACATTTTAAGATTTGCCCGAAAAATTCTTCACATCCTAGAGTGAACGTGATTTTTTCTTATTGCCCTTATAGGCAGACAAGCATACGGCCCACCTGATGGTGAGTGGTTACCGTCGCCCATGGACCTCAGCAATGCCAGGGGCAGAGCCAGGCCGCTGCCTAAGAACGTGAACGGTTCAATAACTTTGACATATTCAACCAATTAGATTTCAAAAACATTTCTAAACGACTTGTCAATATCTTACCCCCAGTACTGTGATTCCGAGAGAAAAAACCAGGGTCATTAACCGAGACACCGATCAAGCGAATTATTAACGAAAGAAAGCATCTAAAATGAATATAACAAGTGTTCTTTGTTAAATCCAAAACGTTTCAAATGTAAATACGTATGGAATTTTCAAAGACCCATTACCTTCATTAAGAATTTTAGATTCAATTACGTTCGGACATCAAATGAACTGAGCTTTGAGAATCGAACAGAGAGCGACAGAAGGCAATCAGTTAATTGGATCCGAAACATCGCGGCATTGGACGAAACAATACGCTAATTGATTTAACAAGTGTCCTAGAGGCTTATGAAACGCTAATAATTGTTTACTTTTAATATACTGGTAGTTTTCCAATTACAGAGCATAATGCGACTCAGTGACGCACAATGCCGAATTATGCTGAAGCTTAATTGGAACGTGAATTAGTTTTCAAATGCATCAGCAGAGTGTGCTAAGTTAGCACAGTTTTAATTAACATTGATTATTTCTAAGAAACTACGACGAAACGAAAGCCTTACAATTTTTTTCAACATTAAATAATATTACTAACGATAATATAAACAAAATTTCGATCAATGCTAACTTAAAGAAAAAACACTTGTCAATTTTCTGTCACTGAGTCGGTATCGATTGCGAGTATCACGCGAGAGCAGTACTTTTGAGAGTGCTCGATTGTGCGAAGCGTTGCTGTAGTTGGAACATTCAACGTTGAGCATTATGCCGCATAATGCGCTCTTGTGCTGTAATTGGAAAACTACCACTGTGTGCTTGGTGCGAGTTTTTTAACATTCTCGATAGCGTAAAAGTTAACTCAGATTTGTATGCAGTTGTAACAGCGCCCGTAGCGGCAACTTAGGCAAACGTTCCAATTCCATACAAATTTGAGTTCACTTTTAAGGAACGTTTAGAGAACGTTAAGAACTCGCATTAAGCACACAGGGTGTGTATTTGTGTATACGTAGCTTAATCTATTATATATGTAGCTTTTATAGAACAGAACATATCCATATTTTACGAACAACAATAAAGCAATGTTCTCCATAGACACAATCCACTGAATTTCTCGCCGGATTTACTCCCGTGTGTCGCCATTCCGATCCGGAGGTAGATTCTGCGAAGCACTACTCTTCCTAGGGCTAGTATTGGCAAATTCTCTCAGGTTGAGCCCGTGAGCTCACCTACCTGTCCGGGCATAGAGGGAATAGCACCTTAGGCTACCAACAAATAGGTAGGAAAAAAGAGCAACGTTATCCTCTGTAGTATATTAAAGGATAAATTGGAACCGAACTAGAACACAAGGACTGGTAGTACTAGATATTCTCTAAGCCCACGTTCCATAATTTTTATTTTAATAAACTGACGTGTGAAATCTTTAAGCAAAACGGGAAAATGCATATAATTATATTATCATCATCATCTTTGAGGTATCGTTAAGTGGTAAATTATTATAACCAGTACATAAGCCTAATTAATAATTTTCGTTCATGTTCCGATAATTTTGGTATAGAAACAGAGGTTTAGCCTATTAAATAATGTAAAGATTACAGCGCTTATTTTTGATATTGAATCAATTTTTGATAAGATTTGCTGTTTGCAAATATGACAGAGCTTTTATTAAGAGTGATATTATGTTAATTCGTCTTTTGCCGGACAATTCGACAATAGAAAGAGATTCAACACGGTGTGAGCTTTCTTTATTCACAACGCCTAATAAAAAGTTTAATGTTTAACTGAATATGCAATTTCGAAAAGGGCACATCTCTGAAAATGTAAAATGTTCAGAAAAAAACTGATTATTTTCTAAAGCAGTGTAAAATTTAAAATATTAACTTTTGAGATATATTTTAGTGTTAATTAGCAATTGAAAATTATTGGAATTATTATAAAATGGGTGTAGGTAAGACTCAAAACTACATGAATATGAAAAAACCTATTTGACAAAATATGCGACATGTGCCTTTTTCAAAATTGCATATTCAACTGTATTCTACAAAACAAGTTCCCTTGCTTCAGGAAACGGAGGAAGAAGAAGACGAGGACTGTCAAGTCTTCGATAGCCAATCTGTGGACTACTCGAACGACTTCAACGAAACAGGGAACATGGTGGAAGCTGATGATGTGTCAACGATATCCAAAAGATATTTGACGTTTGAAGCTGAATCTACAACTTCAAAAGTTAAGAGACAGTTTACTGAGGTGGAAGATGAATACGATGCAATTGGTGAGTGTTATTCACTATTCCTTGTATGTTCTGATATGGTGCTTACCATCAGTGGAATGTCGTCCTCGAGGCATAAAGGTTTTATCTCAATTGTATTATAATACTAGCTGATCCGGCAGATTTCGTAGTGCCTCAATCGATATATAAAACATCTTAACTTTTGCATAAAATAAACTTAAAACAAACAAAAGGAATCCGTCCGACGGGGGACACATCAAAGGAAAAACAAAATTGTTAATTTTTATTTCATTCCGAGCATTTTCATATTTATCTACATTTTAAACCTTCTCTTTTTTTTTTTTTTTTTTTTTTTTTTTTTTTTTTTTTTTTTTTTTTTTTTTTTTTTTTTTGTGC